AAAAAAAGAATATTTATTTTAGAGTACATGTACAGACTTTTTTTTACATTTATAGATTTATTGTTGTGAATATAAACTTTGTTCATATTTTGCGACCTTGACGACTTTTTAGTTAACCTTTATCATATTTAGCAAAATAATGAAAATAATGTGTAATTATTTACTCTGCTTTTATAATTAAGTACTAGTACTATGTCATGGTCATTTTAATTACGTCAACCAGCCTCATTATCGGTCAAACAGGCGGTCGGATTAAAATGCATTTTATCGTATTAAATACGGTAAACTATTTTCCTGTTTAGGTGCATTTTCTTTTTAATATTATTTATTTATTGTAAGAATTGATTTGGTCCCGGCATAGAATAGGCCACCCTATTCTTGCCCGTGGGTGCCGTAATGCGTTGATGGAGGGCGAGGAATGGGCTGCAGCGTCTTTCTTAAAATATCTATATGTTTTCCTTTAACCAAAGGTTGTCTGTAAAAGATCACCCTAGCGATAAGACCGCCTTTTGTACCTTTATATGTATATTTTAATCTGTACTTCATGCTACTGTATTTCAGTTGAATTGTTGACACATATGTTTATTTTTATGACAATGACATATATGTTTATTTTTATGTTTTTGGTGCAATAAAGAGTTACATAATTAAATAAACATCTTCAAAACCCAACTGCGGTTGCTAATCTGCCTGCCAAACATGGCAGCTACTAGCAAAACCCTCTAAGGGAAGACCTATGTTCAGCAGTGGACAGTTAATGGCTTCCTTGATATTTTCTTTAAATTATATATTTATCATATTTGGTATATGATAGATCAGAGATATATTGTTAGTTTATTTTCTGGGATTCAATTTAGACAACAGATAATGTTCGCAGTGATACATTTCTAACATATTATAAAACCAGATGTTCAAAGCGAACGTCTTTTTACCAGTTCTGTAAGACATCTGGACCCAAGATTTATTTGTAAAAATCGGACTCTCATCTGTTTAATCGTATTAACGTTTGTATGCATGCTAAGGCATCGTAACTTAATAGTATAAGTTTGATCGACATATAAAATAAAACATAACTTTTTTTATATTGAGCCTTCTCAATCCCTCGTTCATTAAAAAGAATTTTTATTCTTCAAAATCCCTCCGCGTCCTCAGTATCGTCGGAAAGTATCAGTATCTTTTAAAATGCGATCTAAAATGTCAAATAAATGTTTTATGATTAAGTCCCTAAGAATTTGGGAAGTGTCACAAAATGTATCATCCCCTACAAGGGGATACTTTTTAACTATATATATAAAAATCAGAAATTATAAATAAGAATATTATTTATTTAAGTAAACTTAATTACAAGAATACTTATCTATAATATAAATAATCTTATCATCATGTTGTTTAGAACAAGTGTTTTTATTCAATTTTTTTAATCCTAATTAATTGTAGGATTTTTATTATTATTTTATTGATGTACTAGCAACCCGTCTTAGCTTCGCTCGATTAAATTGTGTGGGGTTAATTTTTTTTTAATAAATCTTTCGTCGTCATTATCTGAGTATATATAGTCATATAGGTTTGTTGTGTTGCTACTCGCTAATAATGCCATTTTAAATATCTATTAAGTATTTTCTGAGTTTATTCGTTACAAATAAAAAATCAAATCTTTTTTTTTCGTAATGTTAGATTACCTGGAATTGAATGAAACAGTTTTAAATGAATCAATTTTAAGCAATTGTTAATCCGTTACGAAGTAATCTTGCTTTCAGTACAACATTTACAGCTCAATTAATATTCAAGTAAATGGAAACTTTTAAATATAGAGACGGAACCATCATCGTTCACTCCGTTTTGTTTTTGACCGGTATAATTTAAATCTACTTATTATTACAATTTATGTGCATTATTGATATGCTTACTGTTTATTTTATTTATGAGCTTTATTCACTCTTTGTACGTATACAAGCTGAGTACCGTATTTTCAAGGTTTGATTGTAGTGAGTATGGATTTTAAACGAGCATAGTTTATACAAATATCAAATTATTAATCATGCTTTTAGATGTGTTACTATAAGTTTGGTAATTGAATTTATTCCCCCAAAAGAAACATTAGAAGTTTGAGGACTAGAAATCGGTTTTGCTAGATAGGTATATTCTTAGGAAAATTTAAGAAAATAATATATAATCATTATCATTATATCAGTCGTTAACTGTCCACTGCTAAACATAGGCTTCCTATTGAAGGGTTTGGCAGTAATTGCCACGTTTGGCACGCGGGTTGGCAACCGCAGTTAGATTATGGTGATGACGCTGCTGTAAAATATAATATTTGGGTATTATTATAGTCATGAAAATTAAGTACACTTTCGGATAAAGATTGAATTAAAAAATATTATGAATTAACCCTCATTTTGCATGCACGATTTGCTTGCAAATTGCATAACAAGAATCTGTTCGCACGCTTTCGAGAATCTTCCAAGATGATTCGTTTAATTTGGACTGACTTGTTTTTATCTGATGATCGTCTTCACGATGACACAATGCCGCGGACGGTTTTTTGCGATACCATTTATGTCAATATCGCGTGTTATTGGAATCATACTATTTCGTAATTATAATTATAATTAAATTTACTCTTTGCAATCCTAACTCCAAAACTCTGTTAATAATTATTTTATTATACACAATTGGATATCTCAGTTCATTTATTGTATATTAATTGATTTTATATATAGAATATCAAATGGAATATTATTAATTCTGCAAATTTAATTACATGAAATTAAATTGTTATATTCAATCTATATTCAAACATTTTACTTGTGCTATTGTAATATACATTTTAATAATTTAATAATGATCTAAATATTATTAATAAATGTGGAAAATACTGATGATATGGTGATAATTTTATTTATTTATAGATCTATTCACTTATAATATTGAAGTAATACTAAATAATCAGAAAATAAATATAAGACGTACATATTGTTTACTCAAACTCTTAAAAAAGTAATTATTTTTTGTTACCGTTTGAATAGAAAATAGTTAATTGAAAAAGTTAATATCTACCAGTACAACCTTCAGCTTTCCATATCAAGTTTACACATATTGCGCGTTAAAGTTTAAATAATTGAAAACTTATTCTTAATTTCATTCGGTAAACAGTAGGTATTATTAAACTCAATAAATGAATATATAATAAAATATACAAATATATTTCATGTTTATAAAATTAATTACACATCATACACGCCCGTAAATGAACTGTTGTTGTTAAAATAACAGGTAATCGACTTGCTAACGTTTCGCGGAGTATCTCGATTCCTGCAATTGTTAATTGTTTTCCTTCGTATTAAATTGAAACAGTTGTTGTATACATAATACTGGTATATCTATATAATAATAGGCAGTAGGGACTGTCTTAGTAGGTGGTACCATGGTAATGCGACTTCCCTATAATAATGATATTTATAGCAAAGCGTGTAATAATTATTGTCGTCAAATTCAACGATGATCTTAGTAGACTAGCGGCTTAACATACAGCCTTATCTTTCGATGGTCGTGAGTACTATCCCTTCATAATTATTTATCACTATGTCTCTGTTGGTCTAGGTGTCTTCTGTGTATTATTTTCTAGTACCTACAGTACAAGTTCTGCTTAGTTTGGGACTAGATAGCGTTGTGTAACATATCCTTTGATATTATAATTTTCATTTATTTAAATAAGCTGTCTAATAAAAAAATATGTAACTAACTACTGAAGTACTTGGTGTTTGCGTGTGGAACCACATGAGGAATAACATTGGCACTACACAATATATTATGCCATATTCGTAATGTTATTGGCGACGATATCTTTGATAATCACTTTTCACCAAGTAGTTGAATTGTATACATTCAACACATAAAGTAGATTAATAAGGGACTGAACTTGTTTATCCTATGTTGAAATCACATTCTTCATTGTTTATGGAACGAAGGCTGCTTGTTGTCCGTCAATGCGTCACCATATATCGCACTGGACGCTTAATCTCTGAGATACAAATAGTCATCCAGACTCACAGATGTGATTACTTTGTGCACAAACACTGTATAGGACTGGACTGTGGTAATACGGGGTAAAAATAAACATATTGCTATCCCACTATTATTACAAATGAAAATGTTGAATTGTTTGAGTAATAAACGTCAATAAAATAATAATAAATAATTTGTTTTTGCGTTCAGTATTTTGTTGTGCTAATTAGTAATATAATCAAACTATAACTAGATAATATCAGTAACTGAGAGATTTTTAAGAAAAAAATAATTTAGGGGTCGTAACAAGGGTAACAGAAGCTTTTTATAAAATTTCTTTAGAAAACAAAATCTTTGTTTGTTTCGGTATCACTACAAAACTATTACATCAAATTAGTGGAGGTTTCATAGTTGTATTTCTAAAGGTTTAACTGAAAATCTGATAAAGTATGTATTATGTTGATATGTGGTTACCTATTTTTAAAATTTTTTCGATTTCAGTTAGTTACAAATTCAGCAAAAAATTAAGGTCGTCTTAAAAGTTTGTAGTTGTGTTTTGTATAGTCAATGAATGTGCCAAACAGAAAACTAAGCGAATAATGGGGGTGACTGATGTTTTTGTGATGTCAGTCACTGCTTCAGTAACTGCATCAATCATTAATCACTCATTAATGAATGAAGTACGGCGAAATATGTTACGTGTTGAAACTTATTCTGTGTTATGAATTACATGACAATTCATTTAATAGTCGCATGTTTTATTTAATGATTTATTATTGTATTTTAAATGTCATAAGTGCCCTTGTCTTTACTGCTCGATGGCAAATCTTCTATTAATTTGACTAAACCTGAAATAGTCACATAGTATAGGAGGGTTTTAGGATTGTTATATATATATATATATTATATATATATATATATATATAAATTTAAATTATAAAACAGTTTAGCTTGTTATGTGATATGTTTACTAATGTTAATCAATTTTGCAGGCACAAAATAGAAATGGTGGACATCAAGGCGTCCCATTAACAGGCCCTAGCGGCATCGGAGTAGGTGGTGAAGTCAATGGCTCCAGGCCCACATTTAAACCAGTGACAGTACTAGAGGACCTACAGGCCGTACGCTGTGCAGAATTCCATCCAAATGGCAAACTCTACGCCGTCGGTTCCAACACAAAAACCCTCAGGATATGCACATACCCCAAAATCGAAGATGTCAAGTGAGTATTAGTCTGTTTTTTTTTTTTTAATAACTCAAAATAATTAAAACTGCCTATACACTGACAGGATGTGTTTCTTTTTTAATGGATGAGAATGGAATATTAACTTCACCTACGCTATCGGTTTACGATGTCGGGGTATCAGTGGCATATGATAGTCGAACGTGAAAACAAGTTAGTTCATTGTAATTATTTCCCAAGTAGGTAATAGATATTAGGAATGAAAATAAAATAAGTTAAAAAATAATTGCTTGTGTACTTGTATTTCAAAACCCAAAAAAATTCAGACTTAATAAAAGCATGGATTCTACAAAAACATTAATAGAACAGTCACAATTGGCGAAGATACCATATAACATGTACCTACATAAAAACATAGTTCAAAGTAGAATTTAATTTTTAAAGTCTACTAATCTTTTGAGGATTTCAGAAATAGAAAACTACTGAAGTACGCCACTTAAATATGACAATAGCCAGAATAATACGTATACCCGATTTTAAGTTAGACTTTCAGGAATACAATTGGGAAAACCGCATTCAACTTGGTGATGCTTGAAGAAATGTACAGACAGACAAAATTTCTAAAATTATTGTTTTGGCATCTACTGGTCTTATTATACTTATTAAAACCCTTATCATATTAACTTTTCTATAATACTCTCTAATGTATATACATAATCTAGTTACAATTTTATTATTATAGTAAGATAAATTTAAAAGCAAATAAACTAAGTTCGTAACATTAATAGTTTTATAACAATGTATCGAGTCGAACACGTTATTTGGTTTGTAATATAGCGGGTAGCCCGATCGGCCCTCATCGATTTCAACCCATTCCTCGCCAAACTAATGGTATGCCAATTGGTTATTGTTTTCGAGTAGGTACTATATCATAATCCATACATGTGATTGGCATCTGTAGGAATGACAGCGGATTATTTTACCGGGGAAGTTGCCGCTTTAGTTACGGATTTGGGAAATTGTACGCTCCGGATATTAGAGACAAAAATCGGAAATGATACTTTGTTCCCTTTTTTCAAATGGCAATCGAATGAACATATTAAAATCTATGTATTCTGTTAGAGAAAAACACTAAAGATTTATCTTAACCATAATGAATTAATAAATTATTCTAGAATTTTAGCATATTTTAGAATAACGAATTATTTTGTAAAATGGTACCTGTATCATTATTATTAGATCCGGGACTTCATTATTGTTAGGGCGTCTACCTATTTCTACCCTGTTTAATATAATAAATGGAAAAAATGTATGGAAATGGTGGAATGGATGGTATAACAAATATATATGTATATATTTGTTACTCAATCACGCTAAAAAATATATGTAATGGAATACGGAATACGTACGGTCATTGTCTTGATTAACACAGGATTCTTTTTTCTTTATTCATGTAACAAAGTCGCGGAATACAATCAGTATACATTAAAAGAAATAAAAACAAGTCACCGTCAATCATATTGGTGTTCGTGTACATGAATCGTTTTGTCATTCTACTGTATCTAATACATATTTCGATGGACAAATCAGTTATAATCGGTAACATTCATGAATATTAATTATGTTTAGACCGATCGGGATTAAAGATACATAACGCGAAAGAGGCAGTTCTCGCATCAATATTCCGTTTGTGATAAAAATGAAGTGAAATCATCGGATTACACACTCTGTGACCCTGGTCTTTCTTCGATGGTCGCTTAACCTTCACCAACTTGAAATGCTTCGCAGTCTCACTGAATTGTTACGTTGTCTCGCTCTCTTAACATTCGATTTACGAATCTTCCTCGAGAATGCATTTAGCACTTTGCTGATAAATATCTGCCTTTTCATTTCCTTTACTCGTTATAAAACTTGACGGGTGGTTATATTATGATTAAAAAAATGATAACCTTTTTTAAATTTATTATAGAAATATGGATCGTAATGGTATTACGTGTCAAATTTTCGTTTGTATATTTAAGAGTTTTTCCACATTCGTCAAACTTCTTATCATTTTTCTTTTATCCTTATTCCATTGTAATAAGGAGAAGTCATATTTAATATTGTCATAGTAAAATCAACTCATTACGATTCAAGCCGTGATTGTGAGTGATTTAAAGCAGTTTAGTACAATGTTGCGATAGTAGTGTTACTAGGAGCAATGACACTATCTATACTTATTGTGTTTATTATTATTTTATTGTTCACTATCTACTTCCCATGGCTTCACTGGCGTGGCATGCATATTATTTTATATATTCATCCTATCCCACCCTTAAATCTCATCCCAGCGACCAACATACGTTATTTAACAAACGAGGAGGATGTAAAGATTTTTTTTTTTGTAAATATGATCTAATCTAAATTAACAAAAACTCGCCATGATTTCATACAATAGATGGGAAACGCTGTATCTTATGATTCGCTCGACTGATTCTGACGAAACAGCATTATTAAGTTGGACGAATACCTACTTAATTATAAAATTTAGTTTTAAATTTTTAAACCTGATTTAAATGCCTGTAAATTAAACATTTAAATAAATACTGAAATCTATTTAGATTTCTGTGTTTATTTTATAGCCTCTATACATATTTTCTGAAAAAGAAAATCTATGATCGGATTTTTAACCATTACGTATTTAGAGTTCCAAATAGTTTCATCGCTTTCATCATTAATGGCTCTATCTTATCCATGATATTTTTTAACTCTCATATTAATACAATAATAGATTTTTCGGTTCTTTACGTTACCTGATAGCATATAGGAATGGTTTTAAGCCTCAGTTGTATAGTTACACATAGAACGACTTTGTAGTTTTTGGTATTTTCCTTAATAAGGCAAATGTCATAAACCAACTAACATGACTGTTTACTTAAATGGAAACAGTGGAATATTTATTGTTTGTGAGAAACAATGCTATAAGTAAAGCTAATCATATAATTCTAAGAAATATATAGACGGCTATTTAATAAATATATGATAATTATTTGTTATGTTGTATAACAATTTAATCGTGTTGCAGTTATTTAATGTTACTACTTCATATGGCGGACCGTCAGCTTGTTTGTCAATCCCATTAGCAGTAAAATAAACTTTAGGGATCGTATTATGATGTATGTAAAGATTCCGGCTGATTGTGACTTGTCTAAAGAAAACCTTATATCAAATCTCATAAGGTAAGATTTGGCACGAGTTGCAGTCTGCACCGACAGAAAACGACTTTAGAAAATGAAATATGTAGTTTGTTGTTCATACACAGGTTGTTTATAACCTGCAAAATTTATTAAGTGATATTTGATTAAGATCTAGTCGTTCACCAAAGTGTATCTGCACTAGATTCGGCCTCGCATCTCACCATCCCTACTGATAAGATAATGAATACGAAGGTTCTTTTTGAATTGGTGTTAAATGGAAATGTAACTCTGCCTGCGCCAATGGTACATGTTGGCGAAGTATCAATGAGTGATGAAAGGTGAGAACGAATACAGATCAGCAGTTAGCCTATCGTGATCAATTCACCTGGAATTAATCACAATCGTTTCCAGGGGGACCGCGAGGAGATTGACATGACAGGGTATATTGCTAGGAACGAAGCAGCTAGTCCTCATTACCAACAAACCCTTTCTCCATGTGAATTCGGATTTAAAAAACTCCGCTTTACGTGAATCGTGATGCGATTTATTTTGTACTAACATTTTATCTGCGACTTTGTTCGCGTTCGACCGGGATGTGTTAATTGACCGAGATAAATGGTAGCCGTTTTCCTGTTCTTCTCCAATCTATATAGTACGTATATACTAGATGTGACGAATGATCGAACCATTTATTAAGACGCCGAAAGGTAATGTATAACCGAGTAACAAATATTATGATGAATAACAGGATTAGTAAGGATAATTTACTGCATCTAATGGCAAACGTGTACAATGTAGACGTGATATGAATTAAACACAGATAGATTCATTGATTGGTCATTACATAAAACGAATATTAAGATTCGTGCAAAGCGGGTTATTTAATTGCCCTTGCCTGATAAAGTTTGTAAGAAAGATAAGATAGAAATCTATACATATAATAAAACTAACTAGACCGTGTCTCTCTGTGCACGCATCGTGCATAAAGTACTGGATGGATTTTTACGAAATTTTGTTGGGTATTACTTAGAACCTGGGTTTTGAGTAGGATTCTTTATATTGTTGGAATATTGACATTACCAGAGAAAAGTATAAAAATACTCGAGTAGTAAACAATTTGAATTTAAAAAAAAATATTTTTTTATATACAATTAAAATTATGTGTATTCTATTACTATTTTAAATATTTTTAACCTTTAACGTAGTAACGCATGTAACCAGTGGAACTGCATTACGTGCGATTTTTGTTCGTAACAAAGTTTGTCTCTACGTATGCCATAGATGTGGGGACAAACTGGAGTCTTAATATTTATGCTAATTTCAAGGGATTCTTGTTTAATAAGTTCCACGTTCTCGTCAATGGTGCGTACCATAAAGTTTTGTAATTGAATTTTGCAATTATGATGAAGGTTTTGTTTTATACCTTGATAAATTTATGATTTATGATTAAACACTCAAGTCCTGACCCAATTAATATAAAAACAGTGCTGGATTAAACTCAACAGAATATGTGTATGATGTTTTATGGCGTATTTGACTCAGATAATACCTGTCTACAATAAATATATAGTTAATATGAGATTGTGTAGTAGTATCCGATTATAATTCCACTATTAATTTTATTCATATTGGTTCTAGCTTTTGCTAAATTTATTCATTAGTAGTTCATGTAGGAATCGGTACGAACGTAGTCGATACGAGTCGACCGCTTGAATGACGGGCCTTTTTTAATTTTAATGTCAATTTAGTATATTTAGTAAAAATTAGCAACTGTTTATATTAATCAGCTATAAAAAAAAAAATGAGTATTAGGTAAATAACGAAGTAAATTAATTACTATGTATATTTTTATAACCATTATTG